CATGTCCATGCTCCCAATCTTGCTGGTTAGGGCCTGGTTCACCAATGTGAACAAAACGTTCCATATTAGCGGCAGGAACTGGCGCCTGAACTGGGATGGCTACTTTATTTGTTGATTATACCCAAGCAGTTTCAAGAATCGGACGATCTCTTCCCCTGTTGGGAAAGGAGCATACTCGGGCAATCCAAGGTCAGTCTTGGTTGGTATTTGGAGGACCAAGGAGAATAGTAACCTGGAGATCCTAACGTTGCAGTACTCTTTTCATTCAGGGATATAGTATTATCCTAGAATCCCCCATTCATTTGTTATTACTTCACGGGACTGCCAATATTCTTGGATGAAACGCTCAGGGACTGCGTCATCCACGTTATCATGGTAGGGTTCAAGAAGTGGTGATGAAGAACATCAACTACTGGATGGTACTTCGAATCGAAGTTATCGAGGATAAGGTGAAGGGCGTGGTTGTTTGTTTGAAGGGTAAGGAATCACATTGTGGCTAACACCCTCAATGGATTTGATTACTACCCTCAATGGATTTTAGGGTTGAGGTTTGTGTTTGTAAGTTGTTGGATTCTGAGGTAGAAGAAGACATAGTTGCAGGTTTTTGTCAGGGTTTAAAAGGATTAGGGTTTTCTATATAGAATAGGGTTTGGGAAGGATTTTAGAGTTTAATCGAGAATGGTTTTAGGTTTTTGAAGAAGGAGACTTGCAGATTTGGAACTTACTTGAAATCGATTGAAGATTTTGAAGGATTCAAGATCTGGAATGGTTTGGGTGTTCTTCAAATTCTTTGAATGTTCTTGCAGATTCAAGTTCGTCCAGGATTTTAGAGAATTTTGAAAGCGTAAAGAATATAATGGAGATAATTCCTTATTTTAATATGGAAATTACCAAGGGCACTCGAGTGTTTCTTTCACCCTATGAGTTGGATATGGAAGAGTTTTTGCCAGATCCTATGGGGTGAGGACGCGTGGCCCGATAGTTGTAGGTTATTGTGTGTATCCGCCTCCCTTATTTGAAAAATTAGGAATACATGTCTGTTACTTTCCAAAGGTGACCCTCCATTTATATTCTTTCTTTTAATAAGAGCATTTTATTGAGAAATAAAATGACAAGAGTTCTTCAACCAAAGCTCTATATAAAAGTGGAGAATTCTTTGAGTTGAACTATCACTGTGAAAGAAAAAGAATTCCTACACTCTGCTTTAGAGAGATAACGAGACACCAAGTTTCATGAGACATAAGCTTTGTATAGTACATACAGAGGCTCTGTATTAGAAACTTGAGTTTTCAAGAAAACCAAAGGATATTGGAACCAAGTTTCTTGGGACAGAAGCTTTGTATAGTACATACAGAGGCTTTGTACGAGAAACTTAAGTTTTTAAGAAGACCAAAGTACATTAAACCAAGTTTCTTGGGACAAAAGCTCTGCATAGTACATATAGAGGCTCTACACAAGAAACTTATGTGTTTTCTAGAAAATCAAAGGATGAGACCAGAGTAGGGTTTCGAAAGATATGAGATAGAAACATCCCTTTAGGGCAAATACAGAGGCTCATGGTTGGACTATACAGAGTCTACGCCTTCATAAAGTGATTTGATGAAGCAAAAGCTCGATATAGTACATACAGAGGCTTTGTTTTCTTGGCAATCCAAAACTCCCCGTTGATTGAAGCGATATGTGTTTCTCCCCCTTAAACTATGCTTGGATCAAAAATGATAAGATATGCTCGAGCTATAGTTCAAAATACAGAGGCTCTGTATAGTAGATACATAGACTCTGTATGACAGACTAAAAATATGACAGGATTTGACCAAAAGGCTCTGCATAGTACATGCGGAGGCTCTATCTCATGAACTTGGAAAATATTGACAGAATTAGACCAAGAGGCTCTGCATAGTACATGTAGAGGCTTTGTCTCATGGACTTAGAAAATATTGACAGAATTGGACTAAGAGGCTCTGCATAGTACATGCAGAGGCTATGCAGAGCCTCTGTCTCATGGACTTAGAAAAATAAACAGATCTATGCTCAATATAAGTGCAGAAGCTCTGTATAGTACATATAGAGGCTTTGACTTATCATTGTAGATTGAGCATACCCAACTTGCTGACCAAGAAATTGAATCTCTTTTCATCAAGAGCCTTAGTGAATATGTCTGCAAGTTGGTGACCTGTGGTAACAAATAACATTTCAATCGTACCTTTCTCCACATGGGTCATTGATGAAGTGGTGTCGAACATCAATATTCTTTGTTTTGGAGTGTTGCACAGGGTTAGCTGTGATGGCTATTGTGTTTTCTGAATCACACAGAATAGGAATCTTGTCAAACTCAATTCCATAACCTTTGAGTTGAGTCTTCATCCATATTACTTGAGAGAAACAGCTTGTTGCGGCTACATACTCTACTTCTATAGTGGATGTTGACACACAGTTATGTTTCTTGAATGTCCAACTCACCAACTTGTTGCCAAGTAGTTGACAGCTCCCAGATGTGCTCTTCCTATTGAGCTTACACCCTGCATGATCAAAATCTGTATAGGCAAGTAAATTAAATCTGAATGCTTAGGATACCAAAGACCCAAGAATTGAGTCCCTTTGAGGTATCGAAAGATTCTTTTCACAACAGAGAGGTGAGATTCCTTAGTATTTGCTTGATATCTAGCACACAGACAAGTGGCAAACATTATGTCTGGTCTACTGGCCTTGAGATACAATAGTGACCCAATCATTCCATGATAAGTCTTAACATCCGCCGGTTTTTTCAGATGGATCTGTGTCAAGCTTAGTGCATGTGGCAATTAGTGTCCTTATTGAGGAAGAGTTATGAAGTTGGTACTTCTTCAAGATGTCAGAGACATATTTGGCTTGATTAATGAAGATACCATATTTTCTTTGTTTTACTTGGAGATTGAGGAAAAAAGTTAATTCTCCCAACATGCTCATTTCAAAATCACTCTTCATCAATGCAGAGAACTTGTCACAGTGCCTCTAGTTTGTTGAACCATTGATAATATCGTCCACATAGATCTGGACTAGAAGCATCTCACCTTTATACCTCTTAATAAACAAAGTAGTGTCAATTTTACCTTTTCCAAAACCATTGGAAGTTAAAAAGGATGAGAGTCATTCATACCAGGCTCTTGGTGCTTGCTTGAGCCCATACAGAGATTTGTCTAGGAAACAGACATACTTTGGGTGTATTGACCTCTCAAAGCTAGGAGGTTGCAGCAATAGACTTCCTCCTTTAGCTTACCATTTATAAAAGGCTGACTTAACGTTCATTTGATAGACTCGGAATCCATTATATGCAGAGAAGGCTAGAAATAGGCGTATAGCTTCTAGCCTTGCTACTGGTGCGAAGGTCTCGTCATAGTTTATGCCTTCTTCTTGGCAGTAGTCTCTTGTAACTAACCTGGTTGTGTTTCTAATTACAATGTCATCCTCATCCTTCTTGTTCCTGAAAACCCATTTAGTACCAATTGCAAGTTTATCTTTTGGTAAAGGAACAAGAATCCATACCTCGTTTCTTTCAAATTGTTGAAGCTCTTCTTGCATGGAATCAACCCAACTTGGGTCTTGTAGGGCTTCATGAACTTTCTTAGGCTTTACCACACTTAGAAAGTTTACAAACAAATATTCATTTGCCGAGACAACTCTTGTTTTTACTCCACTTGTAGGTTCACCAATGATTTGGTGTGAGGGATGGTCTTTGGTCCATTTTGTCATAGGAGGGTCCACAGATGGTGGAGTTGTGAAATCTTGCTCCATTGGAATGTTTGGCATTACGCTCGTTGTGGGTGATGATGACTTTGCTTGCTCCCCCTCGCATAGTGGTACAAAGGGACCACGTTCAGATACAAAGATGGTTATCTCTGGCTCTAGACTGGGCTTTGGTTCAGAGCTGGGAAGCTCTGGGTCTGGATCTGCGCAATCACAAGAGGGAGTAGAGGCCTTAGAAGAGTTAGAGATTGATGTACCTGAAGATTGTGGCTCTCCTTGAACGCATGCATAGGCACCTCTGGTTGCACGCACAGAGATGTCTTCATCACCAAAGAAGTCTTCAAATAATTGCTCGAGTTCCAATTCCCTTGACTTCGATAGAAAATTGGAAGTCACCTGGTTAAGCTTGAGTTCAAGGCTGGATCAATTATAATCACCTAAAAAAAGGGAAAATAGTAAGAGAGTTTACATCAAGAATGAACTGTAACTAACAACCTACTAATCTAAATCAAATCTAGATCTAGATTACAATTGGATGTCACTACAATCCTCAAAAAAATAAACGTGTCATTAGTAACTCCACAATATCCTCCAAAAGAATAGTAATAATCCAAAAGTGCCTCTATAGACACATAGTGCTCCACTTAAGCATTAGGAGCTCTACGGCTATACAATCATTCGTAGGTTTTGGAGAATACCTAGAAACCAGCTAAAATGGTGAGAAATATGAGATCTTAAAGCCTTAGCATTCCTAGACTTGAATCTTTGCTCTTTATTGCCTTTAAATGCCCCAACAACTAGAAAAAGGAGATTCAATAAACCCTAGGTTCGAAATAAATGAAGAGAGAGTTGAGGAGAGGGATTGTGAGGATTCAATGAGCTTAACCTAACACAATCGGTCTTTTAACATGCAGATGGACGTCTGATACCCTGGCATGCAAGGTCGCAGCACACTGCTCGTCCTGTCCTAGATTTGAGCTTACATTATGCCATAAGTGACCATGGTTGTGCGAGGTTAGGGTCGCAGCCACGAAGGTTGCACATGCCTAAAACTCCTACATACGTTACATGGGGTGAAGCCATGTTAACGTCTTACTGAATCGAGTTCCCGATAAAAAAAAAGATTAACCCATATGAACTTTCGTTCAAAAATGTTGGTTTTTAGAAAGAAGCTATAAATAAATGATGTGATTGATTCCATCTTTCAAAAAAAGTTCAGACAATGACCAATGAAAAAATTCAAAGTCTTGATTAAAAAATAGTTCATAGTTAGTTGGGTATTTGTGACTTTTCCTGTAACATTTGGCGACAATTTGTATGAGACCTGGAAAGTGATTTACCTGCAAAATAAGTGCTCGCGCAAGGAAGCTCTGCCTTGAATTTGATCACCGCAGCATCGCTGGACGCAGTTGTTATCGTTCCATCTCTCGTATTTTGCAAGCAATTACAGATCCCCATTCAGAAAGAACAATAGCAGATCCCCATTCGGAAAGAACAATAGCAGATCCATCTGTATATCGTGTTCGTCGACCCGAATCCCCCTGATTCAATCAACAGAAAGGTCATCAACCATTTCATCTTTTGGATCTTTATGCCTTTTATTTATTATTTGCTACTAGCCACGTTATCGTATTGGTTTTTGTGTTTATATTATTTTTTTGGGGGTTAGGGTTTAATTACAACAAAATTTGAGCAAGTAATTTCGAAAGTTTACTTGAAAAAGACTTGATTGTATACAAAACCCTATAACTTTATATACGGTGTATTATTACATTGCCTGCATCAAGTTCGGACATTGGAATTTGTTGTTGGTTTCTTGTCCATCATTGTTCATTATTCCGTTTGGATTTCAGGGGGAAAAGGGGCGTGAATTGGGACGAGCAAAATGGGGCCACTATACTATATATTAGTGGCGCTTCCTTGCACGATTGGGGCAATTGGATTGGCGCTTCTTCACATTTACCGACACCTTTTGAATTACACTGAACCCACGTATCAGCGATACATTGTCCGCATCATTTTTATGGTTCCTGTGAGTTTTTAATCCTTTCTTTTCGCATCCTTTAGATGGAAGATATCCTTATGGTAAGAAATTATTATATTTTTGCATGAAAATTAGTACCACCTAGGCTCTGTCACTAGTAATCTCTTAGTCCTCGATGATGACTATGTTTGTGCTAAATTTTGTATAGGCTGGGACCTTCTTGTCATTTAAGTTTGTGAACAATTGAGATAATTACTTCGTTCTCTAGTGACATTGGTGATTCTAATTGCATATTTATGGCTACTTGTCCCAACAATCTATGGTGCGCTTGTTTCTTAGTCTTTTATCAGTGTACATCTTAATTGATAAGAAAACATCTGAGGTTATTGGCAGGGGGCATGGTCATCAGCATTTGAACTCCATTTTCTTACCCAGCCTCTATCTGTTAGGGCAATCCTCATCCCCACAGAAGATAGGAGCTTACAAAAAGATAAAGTATGATTCAACCAACACCTTACATTGAGTTTGTAGGTGAACAATGATAGTGTGGTTAAATCTGGCAAGCCAAGAAGCATCTGGGTTATGAGATTTGATATTGGCTGTTGAAAGTGATCCTTGTAGATGTACGAATTAATTTCATTTCAGCAACTTCTGGCTTTGTACAGAAGCAGGTTACAGCATGATGTATATGATTTTGACTGTAATAGTCTATCGCTTCATGACATTTGAGGTATTTGTTAGGCCATTTGACTTCCTAGAAAACTGGAGATGGTTTGATCGTGTTTGGGAGTTCTAACAAATTCAAACCCCTTTTTAGGACGGATTTAATTCTGTAGGAAAATTTTGGGATTGCATATTTTTGCTACTGAAAGAGTCAGATAATTGACTTGAAGAACATCAAATATATGATGATTACAATATACCTCCATAAGAATTGAGGGTTACCTAACATTTTTTTTAACTGAATAATAGAGAGGAGGGTTCTATCCTTGCAAGAAGTTGCTTAGAGACGCAAAGCTCATAGGCCAGTATAGAAATATATTATAATTACCCGTTTTAGCTGTTGAAGATTATGTTGCTAGTATTAGAAGACAAGAGAAAAGATCCAGAGAGAACCTTAAGATAAGAAAGAACTAGAGAACCACAAAAACGGATGAAAAAAATATCAAAATGGATGCCAAATTAAAGATAATAAAGTGACCGCTTTTTGGTGTAATTTGTTTTGCTTTTATTTTGTATTTTGCTTTTTTCTATTTAAAAATTAAGGGAAATATTTGTATTTTTCTAAAAAGGTGGTTGTAACAGCCCTTTTAATCATATTCGTTGGATCATCTCAATCCAACGGTTTGGATGGGTTTTCTCGGTTCTTTTCTTTTTTCAGGGTTCTCTCCCGATCTCATCTTTAGAAGGGAAATGTTAAATTTAGTGGACAGTGGAGCTAAAAAGAAGGAATTACATATTTTTTTGTAATAGATGTAAGAGATCCCCTATGAGTTATACACTTAGTTACTAGTACTATGAATTAGATGATCCTACTATACACAGAATACTCCCTTGCCCCATCATATCAAAAAAATGCATCACTTTCCATTTTTGGGATGTGGCCCATCTCCCAAATTCGCAGCACCTTTTTTGGTAAGTTCTTGATCCTATTTTACTTTTTTGCCCATTAGTTACTGAAATTCGTAGCTTGAATTTTGTTCCACATTTTTCTTTGTTTTGTCCTTGTTAAAGGGCATGTTAGCCGTCTATTTATTCAATAGTCAAAACATTTTTATTGAACTATGTGCTAAGTTGAACATTGCATTCTTTTAGGGATGAAGGGAGTATATTCCTTCTTACTATGCATAAATCTCTAGTAGATGTAATTTAGATTTCCTACTTAAGTCTTAAAACTCACTTATCCCCTATTCTATGCTTTTAATCGCGCCACTATAGCGGTGGTATTGCGGTTTGGTCATGGGACAAATAGCGGTCCGCGATTAGCGGCGCACTTGGTCATTTTGAATGCAAAAAAGCGGCCGCATAACTGCTATTTGTAGATAGGCTATTTTGGTGTTAAAAAGTAATTTTGTAGGTTTTTATTTTGGACCTTCATTGGGTTTTATTTTAGCTCAACAATATTAAGGCTTCATTATTCTTTAATTTTTGGGACTTGGACACCACAATTCTTACTTTTTTTGGACTTGGATACCATAATTTCTTACTTTTTTTGGATTTGGACACGATCACTTTGACCTCTTGCTCTGAATAAAAGTTTTCACGTTGTTCAACTATTTTTATTTGGACTTGGACATCCATTATTCTTATACATTTTTTATTGAATACATATAATATGTTGAGTTATGTATAAATATATAAATTTCTGATTATTATATGAACCGCTATTTTTGGACTGCTCACCACCGCTTTACCATCGCGATAACCGCTATTTCAAATCATGAACCTGACCACGATTTCATATTTTGACTGCTATAACAACATAGCTCCTATTACATTAAGTAGAATTTATCTTTCTATAATGAGCATATGTTCTTTCTCATACCATTAGAGGCCTTAGTCATCCCATCAGAAGGAAAGGAGATGATGGAAGGGCATTGTAAGCTGGTCCCTCAGGCTTTTGAATCTATCAGGCTTCAAACCTTCCCTCGTGTATTATTATAGCTTGATTGTTGAAAGCTATTACAAATTTCAATATAAATATATAAATATTATACAACAGTGGCAACAAAAGCAGTTGGTTATAATTGCATTATAAGTCTTATGATGCCATATCTTCTATTTGGCTAAGAATGTACAATAATAATGCACACTTAAATAAACACCCATGCATCTTAGCTCCTTCACACACTCCTCATATAGGCCGCTACTCGGATTAATCAAATATTGTTGTGTTGTACAAAGGCCTCAATGTTGTTACGTATGATTGGCTGGTGCCAAGGGCTTTGCATTATTTAAGCTTGTGTGTATATATGCTCACATTTCTAATATGAAGTTTTATGTTATGTTGCATGTATGTATTTTTGGGTATGCATTTGATGCCTGCCTTCACGATGATCTCTATTGAATGATCAATGCTTGGATTGAAGAGTGTTGCCGACTACATTTAGGAGCTTCCCGCATCTCTAGTATTTATGATGCCAACAATTATGATCTCTTTGTCTAAGAAGCATTTCTTTATCACGTGGGCCATAGATACCTTAATCTAGAACCAGATTCCATCTTCAATACCTTGCTAGGATTAAGGATGCATGTAAGTGTGATTGGTGACTTGTGATTTTGTGTTTGCATTTAATGGACTCTAGTTGCCAGTGTGCCATTTTAATCTATTTATTACAGATTTGACACTTTCTCATTTTTATGTTGAGGTAAAATCTCTTGTAAAGTTGTCATTAGTTGCATAATAGAGGCAGCCATATTTTAACACAATGTGGGAACTTTCATGACATCCAGTTAAATCTTGTTCAACGAATGTACTCCCTAACCTTAAAAGCATACTCGTAATGAGGCCCATTCTTGAGAAAATACAGTGTTTCCCATGTTCAAGCTTGCAGTATTATAAAACATTTTCAGTGGGTTGATTCTGCTGTCTACTTTTAAGTTTGTTTTTTAGACTATTTTAGGAGAGTAATCTCTTGATATCAATAGAAATGTTTTGGATATCTCTTTCATCTTTTGCTTTTCTTCCGAAATTGGGGATGTTGACAAATGGTCTCCTAAAATTCTGTCCTCTTGAATTTGTGTGTGTATTAATCATCTTACTTTTAGTTCGAAGTGTTAAAATTTAATTTTTCTGTATCTTTATTAATTGATGTTGAATATTTTATCTTGTTTTTGTCATATAGTTTTTTTCATATGTTGCAATGACTAGTGATCTGTTCTTATTCACAGGTTTATGCATTGATGTCTTTCTTCTCACTTGTATTCAATAAGAGCTCAATCTACTTCAATTCTATTCGAGAAGTGTGAGTATGCAATTCCTAATTGTATGAGGCCGAATGTTTGTGGTATTTCTTTTGTAAAATATATCTCGATAAATTTTTGTTACTTGGATTTATATTCTAGGAATGGTCATTAAGCATTGCATATATGAAAAATTAAATGGAAATTGATCACTTCATTTTGTAAGTGTGAAGCTATGGGTCATTCAGTTCTCAATCAATTTGATATAAGGATAAAGAGTAAAGGAAACGGCTATACCCTGGGTAGTGTTGGTCGAAGATAGGTGGCTGGGTGTGGAAGTCAATAAATCAAGAAGGGTGGGCCGTGGTTGGAATGTGCAAGTAGGTAATGCAGAGATAGAAAGGCGAATAGTAGTGCTACTTCAATATAATTAAGGCGCTGAATTTGAAAGGAGGGAATGGAATCGATTAGTTTTGAGTTGGTTTGGCGAGAGTCTTGGAAGACCCCAACCTCTTGAAAGTTGGAACCTATGGTGACCATTTGATTGATTAAAATAACTTTTGGTCACCAACTGTGTATCAATTAGTATCTGAGCAAGTACAATTTACCCCATGTTAGGAAGATTGGAATCCGGAGTTGATGAAATCAAAAGGAGGAAGGGTATGCTATTGGAGGAGGCCAGGTTGTTAAGGAAGGATGTTGTGACCATGAAGGAACTGATGGAAAGGCTAATCATGAGGAGCTGCCAGACTTGATTAGAAAATTTCATGATAAGAGGAATGAAGAGAGAAGAAAATCTAGAGATAGAGAGAGGAGAGAATTAACCTCAAGAGAATGCGATGCAAGCATATAAGATCCATTTGTACTCTGGTTCGTATGTGAATTTGGTAAAAGCTACTCTCCAACTTCGGTTATTGTTCTCTCTCTGTGTGTCCATCACCCAAACCTTCGCGATTCATTCCCACATTCACATCGTTGCTGGCAGTACCATTACCACCTCTGCTGCTCACGTGCTCACATTATTTATATAGGTAGAGAGAGAGTTACGATCATGTGAGAAGTTTTCATTTCCACCTCTGCTGCTCACGTGCTCACATTATTTATATAGGTACAGAGAGAGTTAGGATCATGTGAGAAATTTTCATTTCCGTGAGAAGGTTAGAAAAGGTTAATGTACCTTTATCTTGTGTAAGGGTTTGTGGTGAGAACTGTGAAGGTACCCTCATAATTTAACTTTCCACTACATAGTTGAAGGTCATGTGAAGGTTACAACCTTCACACAGTAAAACGTAACATTCACAAAAATAAAGGTGCCTTGACATTTTCTCACTTTCTCACAGAAAGGGGTTGTTCTCACCGGAACCCAATCTTACATATACATTAAATCTGTTGTTAGGGAAGGTATATACTAAACTATGCTGTTTTGTGATTATCTTTGCTCACTTTTCTGCTAGACCCTGTCTATATGTTTACACATTTTTTCATTTTGCATGCTAGTCTTATCACACATCATATATTGCTTCTCTTTCTTTCTCTTTTAAGGAATAAAACAACCAAAGCTCATGGTAGGTTCTTATTCTCACGTAGCTTTTTGATATTCCTGGAAATATGTGTTGACATATCTATATTAAAGTGACATAATCAAATTAGAAAATCTTTAATTAGTGTTTTGACATCATGACCACAAAATGATGACCAAGTTAATAAATAAGAGGTGTAGTCTTCCACAAGACCTAGGACAAACAAGTGAACTATAGTTAAGAAGAAAATGTGACCATATATATTTAGGAATAGATTTTGTTTTACTAATATGGTGTTAAAGCATACCAAAATGAAAGATAATGCCTAGATAAGTTAATAAGTGGAGAATTACTTGTGATTGGATAAAATGTTCCCGTTGTGGAAAATATCATATTAAATAGACTGCAAATAAAATTTGTGAAAAAGAGATATGTACATTGACCAAGCCATTTTTAATAGAGAAGTAGAGATCATGATTCATGCAAAACATGTAATATTCAGAAGGAAATAGATGTTGAAGAATTGCATGTTGAGAAGAGAAATCCTCTGAAGAGCTAACAAATAATTCTTGTTAATTGTGTTTGTGATTGTATTAGTTCCATAAAAGGACTTAGGGATCGATAAACAATGAATTGAAAGGCCATATAGTTATAGGTTTTAGGTACATCAAGATAGGTCAAAACACTAAAGTTGTGTCATTGCATCAGGTGATGTGTTGGCTTTCTAAACCATTTAGTAGGCTCCTTGATAACTATCTTAGAGATACCCTACCTTTTTTAATCGTTTGTGTGTGATAGTGATAAGCCTCCAATTATGAAAGTATATTCAAGTAGGGGTCCAAAGATAAATAAAGAGTAAAGTCGAGGGGGTAATTTTGGAAATATAATAAATAAGGCAAGGAGAATGGTATATGGCAGGTGTGTGGTTTTGGCAGGGGATTTCATTCAGTTTTTGTGTGATCTCTTGATCGTGTAGGAGAGAAATGAGCTCTCGAATTCCCATCTAGTTTTTCTTCGATTTTTTCATTGTAATAAGTCCGGTTTTGCCATTAATATGATTGCAACCATTTGGGTCTATCATATTGGTATCAGAGCGACCGATTCTCATCGACCATGCCTCCCAAATCTCAAGCCGATCAATTGGACGAGTTAGAAGAAAGTGTTCAGGCAATTCGCATCGATTTGACAGGGAACACCAAAAGAATCGATGGTTTAGATCGAGGGATTTAAGCCATTGTGGGGAAATTGGATACATTGATACAACAAGGGCCGAAGGTCTCATCTCCAGCGTGCACATCTGGTGCTTCGTTTAAGTCACCTAGATCTGGTGGTAGTCCGGTTACGAAACCAATAGGTGATGATAATTTTACTTCCGTTTCTTCTCCAGAGACAATTAGTTCCCCGAAACCAACAACTCAAGGATTTATTCCATCCGATTGGAGATTACAACGTGTACAGTTACCAATGTTCAATGGGACTGATCCGGATGGGTGGATTTTCAGAGCCGAACGCTATTTCGCACTTCAACGTTTCGATGATAAAGAGAAGGTAGCCACGACGGGTATACGTATGGAGGGTGAGGCTCTCGCATAGTTCCATTGGGTTGATGGTTGCCGTCCAATTTTGCTATAGGATGATTTGAAATTGCAGATTATCAATCGGTTTAGGCTCACTGACGGTGGTTTCGCCCTTGAATAACTTTTAGCGCTTCAACAAACAGGTAATCTTCGCAAATTTCGTCATTCCTTCGAAATTTTAGCGTCTTCCTATCAGATCTTCCACATCGAGTGTTAAGAGTGTAATTTCATGAATGAACTCAAGCCCAACATACAGGCTAAGGTTACACTGTTGAGGCCTCAAGGATTAGCCCAAATCATGGAAACGGCTCAATTGGTTGAGGATCAAAATTCTCGTTTGACTGGAAGCATTAAAGGGAATAATGTATTGTACAAACCCTCCCCTAATTTCACAAGTTCAAGTCTCCGTCCAACTCCAACTTACATTACCACGGTCACTACTGCTCCATCCTTGTTGAGGAAGAGTATGGGTACTAGTACAACATCCGTATTACGGGCCGAATCTGGAGTGACCAGGAAGTTAACGGAGACAGAGCTTCAAGACAAACGAGCGAAGGGACTTTGCTTTCGATGCGATGAGAAATATCGAGTGGGTCACAAGTGTAAAAACAAGGAATTACAGATTCTCTAGCTCCAAGATGATCCTACAGGAACTAGTGAACAGGATTGCGAACTTAATCTAAATGAAATTGAGGGCTGTCAAGATTCCACCAATCGAGTCTTTACTAAACTGTGTGGTGGGTTTATCATCACCGAGGACTATGAAATTTCAGGGTCACATCAATGGAGAAGCCGTGATCGCTCTTATTGATTGTGGGGCATCCCATAACTTTATCTCTACGGATTTGGTTACTCGATTACAATTACCAATAGAAGAGGATCATAGTTTCGGGGTAAAGGTGGGTACCGGTCAAGTCGTAAAAGGCAGCGGCTGTTGTAAAAGGGTGGAATTGAGACTACCAAATTTAAGAATTAATACAGATTCTTGCCTCTAGAATTGGGTAGCACTGATGTCATACTTGAAATGCAGTGGCTTGAAACTTTAGGTGAAATGAAAGTCAACTGGAAGGCATTGCAAATGAAGTTCAAAATTGAGGGGTCTGAAATTGTCATTGAAGGGGAACCTGGTTTACAAAAGGCTGCAATTTCTTTAAAATCTCTATACAATGTGGCATTCCACAGAAGAGGCCCTGCTGGTGGATCTTTGTTCATTACAAGAAGAGGTTGTCCTTCAAGAATCAGAATCAAACTCGATGTTCCAGGAGGTTATTGAGCAATACTACGACGTGTTCAAGTCACTCAAGAGGTTACCCCTACCACGACGCCATGATCACTCCACTCCCCTCGTTCCAAATACCGTTCCTATAAGTACCAGACCCTATTGTTATTCCCATGAACAAAAAAATGAGATCGAAAAGTTAGTACAAGAAATGCTTGCTGCTCAAATCATTTGGCCTAGTGAGAGTCCATACGCGAGTCCGGTGCTGTTGTTTAAGAAGAAGGATGGGAGTTGGAGATTCTGTGTGGATTATTGCGCACTAAATCACGCTACGGTTGCTAATAAATTCCCTATCCCACTTGTAGAGGAATTGATTGATGAATTAAACCGTGCACAAATTTTTTCAAAGCTTGATCTCAAATTTGGTTATCACCAGATTAGATTAGAATGAAGGAGGGAGACATTGAGAAGACGGCATTCTGAACACATGAAGGACATTATGAGTTCGTTGTAATGCCCTTTGGCCTCACCAATGCGCCGGCCACGTTTCAAGCTCTTATGAACGAGTTGTTCGAGTTCATCTTCGTAAATTAATTCTCATCTTTTTTTATGATATACTCATTTACAGCCATAGTGCGGAAGACCATGCCTATCACTTGTCATTAGCACTTCAAATTCTTCGCGACAATCACTTGGTGGCAAATTGTAAGAAGTGCGTTTTTGGGCAACATCGGGTCGAATACTTGGTGCACGTGATCTCTCATAGAGGAGTGGAGGCAGAATTCGGTAAGGTGCAAGCAATTAAGGAGTGGCCCTCTCCATGAACCATTAAAGAACGTCGGTTTTTAGGATTTACGGGATACTACCGACGATTTGTGAAGGGTTATGGAGGAATGGTGATGCAAACTGTTCATTTTTATTCAACGATCAAATGTTTACAAATTGATTTCCAGCTTTTCGAGAGAGCCGAATCTCTCCACAAAGGTTTTTTCCTCCAATTACACAATACAAACTGATGCCTAATCACTTCTACCCCCTTCTATTTATACTTCTAATAACCCAACTTACTTGACTAATTGACCAGCCCCCTCAATTGACTAATTCACCAGCCCCCTATTATCCCTACTATCTATATATGTAACAACATTTTTGTGAAGGAGATCATGCGTCTTCATGGGGTGCCAAGGTTTATAGTCTAGGACTGAGATAAAGTCTTCCTTAGCCATTTTTTGCAGGAACTTTGGCAATTATAGGGAACTAAACTCAGGTTTAGGATGGTTTACCACCCTCAAAGTGATGGGCAAACTGAAGTAGTAAACTGTGGAATTGAGGCTTAGTTACGTTGTTTCGCCAGAGCACAACCACAAAAGTGGGTTACTTGGCTACCATGGGCTGAATACTCTTACAATACCTCGTCCCATACGTCATCCCACACCACCCTGTTCAAGATATTGTATGGTTGAGATCCTCCCAAAATAACCTAGTATGCGGATATGAAGGTCTCTAATTCTAATGTGGATCATATGCTGTTAGAAAGAGATAGAATGTTGTCGGAGCTACGTACCCATTTACTCCGTGCTCAACAAAGAATGCGAGCATCGACGGATAAACATCGAAGGAATGTGGAGCTGTCGGTTGGAAAATGGGTATTTTTAAAGACACGACCATATTGACAAACGCCTTTGGCCACTCACCGAAATGTTAAGTTATCCCTTCGTTTTTATGGGCCTTTTCTTGTCACTGAACGTATTGGTAAGGTGGCTTACCGTTTACAGTTGCCCGAGGGGAGTAGCATCCACCCTGTTTTTCATGTGTCTCGACTGAAAGAAGCTGTTGGCAATCATGGAACACATACACATCTCCTCGCCGCACTTCAAGATAATTGGGAGCTGCCAATGGAACCAGAAACTCTGAGAGGTAAATGATTTCTTAACAATAATGACATTGAAGTCCTTGGTTGGCGGGGATTGGCAAAGTTTGAAGACATGTGGGAGTCGTACACGGATATGTGTAAGCAGTTTCCAACATTCCACCTCGAGGACAAGGTGAGTAATTGAGGGGGGGGATAGTATTGATAAGCCTCCAACTACGAAAGTATATTCAAGGAGGGGTCCAAAGATAAATAAAGAGTAAAGTCGAGGGGGTAATTTTGGAAATATAATAAAGAAGGCAAGGAGAATGGTATATGGCAGGTGCGTGGTTTTGGCAGGGGATTTCATTCAGTTTTTGTGTGATCTTTTGATCGTGTAGGAGAGAAATGGGCTCTCGAATTTCCATCTAGTTTTTCTTCGAGTCTTCATTGTAATCAGTCCGGTTTTGCCATTAATACGATTGCAATCGTTTGGGTCTATCAGATAGGTGGGAGAGATGATCAAGAGTGGAATCAGTTTTTCCTACGGAGAACTTTATTTTTGCTTGCTTTCAATTGCAAACATATCTTTCTGCACTACACTTTTGCTGCCAGGCCTATTAATTGCTGGTGGCCTTTCATTAAAATTGGGTTCGTCTCACCATGGATAATAAGATAAATAGTAGCTGATGGATTATGGCAAATTTGAGATTGTAGAATAGTTAATTATTTATCTATTAATGCACAAAGAAATGAGATTGGAGCTTAACTATTAAGTGATTTTACTTTCTTAACTGGAGAGGACACCTTCACGTACTTATGTCTTTTAAACCACCTTGATATAAAACATTTGACAAAAACTCTTAAAAACCGTTTATTATGCATGAAGTACTGTTTATTAATGCATATTACTTAAAATTCAATATTACAAGTAAATTATGCCTAAGTACAACTTACTAAAGCTTCATGTTTGAATTCGTCTAACTAACTGCAGATAAACATAATCAAATAAAGGATAAACATCTCATTTTAAATATAAAAAAATCTAAAATATAATTAAGATAATCATTAAGTTCTAACAGAATACTTAATTATTATATTTATAAAAATTTATATTATTAAACCAAAAATAAAAAAATGAATTAAAGAAATATACGAAAAAAGAGAAATTTTAAATAGTTAGTTTGATACTAATATCAATTTTTTTAAACTTTTATGATATCTTCATATTTATATTTATTCAAAAATAAAAACATTATCGCTTTCTCAAAACCACATAAAACCGTATTATAACACCGACTGAGACAAAAATAAATAAAATGAAACATTAAATCGAGATATATCTCGCTGCATTGTACGAGTACCGTTCTAGTCTCTTTTAAACCACCTTGATAAACCATGGATACTGCAGCATACAACCATCCTTCCCCTCCCTGCAGGCCCCAGGATTGGTGGGAAAGCAGTATCAGAAGCAGTAAAGCAAAGACCTGCATTTGTCATTATTACTGATTACATTCTTTTTATTTTTTCTAAAATGGATTCTTTGAATATGATTGCCTAAATTCTCATTTTATCATATATGAACTTTGCTAGCAAGGCTAGGTTTTGCTTGATATGAGTGAACGTGTAAATGTTGGACCTTTTTTAGTAAATACTTTTGTCTGTTGACTTTAGAACAAGTGATATGAGATGCGTTGATATGATACTACTCTATTCATGTTTATCTTTGTATATCTTATTTCAGCTATGAAGCTTGGGTTATATACAATTTCCTATCACTGTGCCTGGCATGGGTAGGTGGTCCGGGTGCTGTTGTTATAAATCTCACTGGACGCGTCCTTCAGCCAAATTGGTGTTTGATGACATGTTGCTTCCCTCCCATTCCGCTAGATGGGTGAGCTCTATGAGACTATCCTGTTTATGTTCTGGTGGTTCATGCATGTTGACAAGTTTGTGACACTAGGGAACCAATTCTTTCTGTGAACATTTCATTTTGACATGTTGGATTTTGTGTACTGCTACTTTCTGTCTTAAATTCATTCCATTTAAATGACAATTAAGTAACTGAACAAGCATAAGAGACTTCTCTTTTGCCAAGTCTACCAGTATTAGGATCCTAACCTATCTTCATTATTATTGTTTGAAATAAAGCCTCCACCCTTTTTTTATCTCATCCTATTTTACTGTTTGATGTAGATAAGGGCAATGTAACTATAATATTAGTGTTCTGATGTAGGGTGACTTATTGACTGTAAATACATCTGGGAAGTGACTGGCTACCTTCTTTGGGTGAAATTATCAGTATTGGAGACATAAGATGTGTGTTGCTGTCTTACCTTCATATGCCTTTGTTTTAGTAACATTTCTGAAAGTTCTTGTGCAGGCGATTTATAAGGAGATGTAAACAAGGCTGTTTGCAATTTGTCATTCTTAAACCTATATTGGTGGCAGTTACTTTCATACTTTATGCAAGGGGGAAATATCATGATGGCAATTTCAGCGTGGATCAATCATACTTATATCTCACCATTATATACACGATTTCTTACACTATGGCGTTGTATGCTTTGGCCTTGTTTTACGTGGCATGCAGGGATTTGCTCCAGCCATTTAATCCAGTTCCAAAATTCATCATTATCAAGAGTGTTGTTTTTCTGACCTATTGGCAGGTAGCACTTCTTACCAGTTTGTTATCTTGTACGTATTTGGTAAACAGTGGCTCTCTAGAAGTGATTTTTTCACCTAATGCAGCAATAGACACAAACAAATATATACATACTTTGGGAGGGTACAAGTGTGTAATACAAAGATTTCACTATTTCGAAATTCTAATACATTTATGATATGATGGTGGATATATTTGTGTGTGTGTGTGTGTCTGGGTATACGAGTCTATAACTGAACCAATAAAAGAAAGAGATTTTTCCATAATTTTTACATTGATCATATAAAATAAACAAGTGCATGCCTTATTGTTTAAACTACTTCTGCTTTGCATGCCTATATTAGTCAAAACTGTTGAGGAACAGTTTGTTTTGTTTCTTGCCCTCTTTCTCTTGTAGCCATGAGAATGAAGTTTTGCTTGGGTTTTTAGCCTTCAAGTCATTTTATAGAAACCGACAACCAAAGTTGTGCCTTGCATTTTTGTAATTCTGCATCTCCTTATTCATGTTCAAGAATCTGGGGATACAATCAACGTGGCACCCCCCAAAAAGTGCACTTAAGGTTTAGAAGCACCCATGCTTCCTCGCTTGGGGCCATTTGACTCGTTCGAGAAGTTTCAAGTTCTTAACGTGATATAGGAATAATGACAGGAGCAATTCATACATGTGATAGTTTTACTCATCAAGGACCTGGTAATAGCAAATGCAGGCATGTAAAGAACACTAGAGAAATTGAATCGAGAGTTCACCTTCACGGAACCAAACCTTCCTATAATACTTCTTTGACCATTGGGCTATTCTAACAAGAGTATGGGTCTAGGGTGAAAACCACAATAGGAATTTTCCTGTTATGTGATAATCTATAATCCAAGTGGAAGAAGGTAAACTGAGACACATGATCAAAGGGGTACAGGGAAGTGTCGAATGTTTAAATCAAGTTGAGCTTTTACCAAGTGGAAGATATGGAATGGAAGTAGTCTACAGTCTGTTAGTTGAATCCAAATAAGGACGTTATAATTTAATTCATATCATCTACTCATCTTCATATTACCAAGCATGCAACAATAGCAATGCTCGTTCCTGGTAAGTCTCGAACCTGTTTTGCATGAACCCCTGCAAGACTTGCCATCGAAACTCAAAACAAAAGCTTCCCTAGCTTTAGTGTATGAAGTCATAATGATCAAGGGGATGCCACACATAGAAAATGGAAATATTGGAACCAAATACAAGTAGTACACCAAGATCATGGTTGTGATTTCTACTGCTACTCCTAGCCCTAAAGACGTTGCAACCCAACCTAGTCCTCCACTAAAGGTTGAATCTAAAACAAATGTGAACTACTATCCAACTCTAACACCATCGTCCCAATGAGCCTCTCTTAAACCCTCATATATTACAATCTATGGTATAACTCCGTTTTACCATCTAATTATGATACTAGCTTTGATACCTCCATTATTCTTATTATCTAATGCAAGGAAAAACTTGGTAGCATAAGTAAGTCTATTGCATGACTTGCCAATCTCATTTCCAAAGATGATTCTTTTGTCGGTCTATCTTCTAGTAAGGGAACCCTTATCACATGTGACACCCTTATCAAACGAGAACACATTCATTTTACGAAAATGTGAGAACGCCCTTATCACATGTGATGATACACGTCATAGGACCTGGTGTAATGAGATTGGCATGTCATGCAATAGACTTACGTATGCTACCAAATTTTTCCTTGCATTAGATAATAAGAATATTGGATGTATCAGAGCTAGTATCATTATTAGATGGTACTAGCCGTAGATTGTAATATATGAGAGTTAAAGAGTGGCTCACTGGAACAATAGTCTTAAGAGTTGGACATTAGTTCACATTTATTTTAGATTCAAACTTTAGTGGAGAACTAGGTTGGGTTGCAATGTTTTCAGGGTCAGGAGTAGCACAGCAGAAATCACAACCATGACCTTGGAATACTCAAGAATGGAATCATCAACTCTAGTCTAGTTGCATGAATAGAGAGAAATTACATTAGGACTACAATTTAATTGCAGAGTATCCACCAAGAGAGATTCAGTGATCTTGTCTACAAACCAGGATGAAAATCATGCACATAGCAATCATTAGAAGAAATTTGGGGTCAAAGTTAAAAAATGAAGAAATTGTGCTTAAAATGGCAGTTGAAACTGATTATTCGCAAACTGGTTTTCAACTTACACACATAAACACAAAAGTCGAGAGTTTCAGGTTTTTCTTGAGTGGTAATCAACAAAAGTAACAATGTATCCAGAAATTTAATTTATGCGTTTTAGCTCGATCATTGGCTGGCAGCACGGTATGGCTTTGTGTGTTTTAAGAGTTGAAGGTGGTGATGCAGAATAGGGAGCAAGGGTTGTTGATGTCAAAGAGATTCATTCAGCATTGTTTTGGAGGATTTAGTTGTTGAATGCATTAAGGAACATAATGAACATATTTAGCGCATACAAGCCAAGGAAACCCCCTCTGTAGAAACAGCCATATACTATATATCAGAATCACAAGCTTTTTCTTTTTGTTTTTATATGGGATTTCACATTGATCTACTAATGCATGATGGGGCTAACTCGAGATGGTGGTCCTGCATTGTAGTATTCTTTGGGGTATATGCTACATGAGGGATGGAGGTTTGATTAATTGAAATCATGTTTCATTTGGTTGTGGCTGCTTAAAACAGATGTATAGCTTACATCTAATTATGATGTTTCCCACATTGTGACCCTTCAAGCCATGATTTCATGCATGGCATTGATGGCTTTTGTGATCTTGATTGTGACTGATTTTCCAAGATTTTGGTTATGCTGTTTTAATGCATATGGAGGAGCTAATTGATTGACTTTTTGATTTTGGGATATTATGGTCCAGCGTAGTATAAACAGTCAGACTTGGGTATCAAGATCTGTTGTCAGGTTATATCTGATACAGTCCTGACTTCTGCCGTTTATAGAAAAAAATGGAGTCGTTCCTACAATAAACATTGATTAATGGTCAGTCATACTTTCGGCAACCCATGGATGCAGGATCTGGAGGTTTTGGATGACCAGGACTTCGTGGAGATTATTAATGTGTAAGAGTCTGATTTAGTTACAAGAGTCTTTTAGTTATAGTAAGAGCAAAACCCTCGTGAAAATTGTGTTTGCTTGGTTATCAGCATATAAAAACATTGCCATCTTACATACATTCTAATTTAGCAATTCAAGAACAAGTGCATTTTTTGTTTTGTAGTTATTGTCAACAAAGGCACTTCTTGCTTTTTGAAGCTTTTCTGTCATTGCTCTTCTTAAGAGGCTGCTTCACAGAATCATGCTTTATTTTCTATGATCTATGTAGATATAAACGTTGATGAGAACAGTATTACATTCCATGATATTGTTTGTATTTTTCTTCTCGCAACTATCGAATATGTAATGCATGTTATTCATTGTTCTTCTTTTGCTTTCAGGGTGTTTTGGTTTTTCTTGCTGCAAAGTATGACTTCATAGAAAACGCAGAGCAAGCTGCGGAGTTCCAAAACTTCATAATTTGTGTTGAGATGCTTATTGCTGCTGCGGGTCATCTTTATGCTTTTCCATACAGAGAGTATGCTGGTGCAAATGTTGGTGCAACCCGTGGGTTTACAGCAAGTCTTGCACATGCCTTGAAATTGAATGACTTCTATCATGACACTGTTCACCAGGTTGTTCTGCCTTCTTTTATAAATTGATGATATTGAGCCATTGTAGTTTATATTTCAGTTTTAAACACCCACAGATAGTTCTAACGATGTAGAAATTACACCCAAGTTGGGTAGAATATGGCAAAAGAAGCATTATAGTTGGCCCGAAAAAAAAAGAACACGTCATCTAGAATAAACCAAACCAAATAAACTCTCGCAGAGGTAGGGTCTGGTCTCTTGGGGGGTTAGGATGTGAGAACACAGTTTCTCTACCCCAAAGGGTAGAGAGGCTGTTACCATGAAGACCCCCGGCTAGGCGGTCAATCGTGGCGCTATACCGGTGGTCGAGGAAATAGCGTCTATAATAGGGGTCCCATGACTAGCGCTATTGTTTATCACTCTTTGATCATGATTTACTGTGTACAGCTAGTGTAGTTAGCTCTTTAATGACCTCTAGAAACTCCATTACCATGTTGCATTTGCAGGACTTGATATGTTTTACTTTACTTTATATGTACAAGACATATTTACATATACAAGATATTAAGTTCTTTACTTCTTTATATATAAATATTTGTAAATTTTATATGAACCTCATTATAGTTACCATTTTACCAATGTGATAACTACTATATCAAGTCTTGGTCCTAACCAAGATTTTAGAAAATGACCCGGGGGGGGGGGGACACTTCTTTTAGAAGTTGTTTGCAATTCTACGAGAACTGCAATAACGTTTTTTCCTGCATTTTTGCAAATGTTTGTAATGAAGTGCATAGAATGGATAATCGTTTTGTATTTACACCATCCTTTCATGTTGTGGTTGTTGTTAATGGGTATTTTGGTTATTTCACTATCCTTGCAGTTTGCACCAACATATCATGATTACGTACTTTACAACCATAGCAGTGATTCAGGTGAAGAAAGTGGTAGGAAATACAGGGCACGCACGTTTGTCCCAACTGGTTCGGAAATGGACACTGTTAGGAAAAGCAAGCAATTTTCCGGAAACAAGTTAGATGACATACAACTATCTAGTATGTCATCATCTGGGGACAGCACACCTGAAAACGTTAACCCAACAACAAAAACAGAGGCAATTGAATCATCACTGCTAGTGGACGTCTCAGATTCAGCAGAGATAGAACCCTATGAGCTTACACTAGTAGATATCAACATGTCTAGTTACCCAGAAGAGGTACCCGCAGTGCAAGAATCAGAGACCAGATGATCTGGCAAAGGTATTATTAACTCATAGTTTTTGTTTAGTGATTTGCGAATCTTGATTTGTTAGAGATACCATGTGAATGAGGCTTCTGGTCATCTCTGTCTTCCTAAATGTTAGGCTTTGTACATTTAATCAAAAAGAAAACCTTTTTTGTCAATTTTTTTGTTTGTAGATGTGATCTGTGGCAAGTTGTATATGCAGCGACCTTACACGACGGTGCTTGCTCGAATGATTACATATACCTATGAAATAAGGTTTCTTTGATTCTGTCATCTGTATTATAATTATGTGCATACTTGCGAAGATGCCAACAAAGAGAATGTTCAAGAGCTTATGGGATGTCTTCATCTTAATAAAGCTTCAACAATTGTTGAAGACTGCCTGGAGGGCGTAGATCAGTTGCAGAGTCTGGTAGTTCCTGTTTCGTACGCGAGACATGACTGAACAAAAACTTATTAGGGCCACCAACTGCTACACAAACTCTGGCTCCAAGCATTGATGCTGGATAAAGTATGGCATGATTGTACTCGTGTCATTTAAATATAATCGTGACAGTAATTTAATGAAGGAAGATGCATCATTGACTGGAATGGCAACGAATTTCAACAATGTAAATGTGATGGTTTAAGCAACCATATGAATTTAAACATTAATTCTCTTCTTTCGAAACCCACACAATGTGATCTTGTATCGTTATAACAATTGTATATCATTTGAGAAATACAGATGGTAGTAAAAAAAAGCCTTGGTTCTCATGAAGATAAATTTCAAGCAACAAGAGAACATCAGCAAAAGCCGATTTTCAATAAGAATCCAATCCTGAACATAACTTCATCATCCATTTGAATCATCTCCCAATTGCCTTCTAACATCTAGCTGATTGCTTCGTGCTACTTCTTCAATACCTAAGAAATCGTCATCATCGCTGTCATTGTCTTTCTTTATACAACTTCAATATCCACAGCAGACATCATCAATCTAGTATTTGAAAAAACTGCCACTTTGTTTTAGTAACAAGAAGATAACATATTGATTGATGCACCTGGTGAGATGAGGACACAAGATTTAAGAAATCATATGTGGGCTTTCAGCTTCAGCAGCAGACACCAAAATCAACAGAAACAAGGCAACTGATATGAATACTTGATTGATGAATGATTGAGCACTTTATACAAATAAGATTTCATAAGGCAATGTGCATCACAAACATACTATTTATCCATTGCTCAGAAAAACATCAGGATATGAGATTCCCAAGCAGCATCTTTGTTACTTTCTTTCACCATGGGAGACTCTGACTTTGACGTTTTTCAAAAATATATGCACCAATGATCTCGCATATACACTCAACCTGTCTATTCTGGAAAGTACCTACCTGCTCAATGGCAGACCGCATAGAAGCTGATAACATCAGTTCAGGAGCTCCTTTGCCATTTGGTTCATCTTCCCCATCACGATCAAGGAGATTACCTTTCTTTACAGCATATTACAATTGGATGAAGAGATACCGCATTGTATGCAGTCCATTAGCATCTGCGCCCCTGACATCATGTGGCAAGTGAAGTCGTTATTATATGATGTCCATGGGACAAATTAAACCTTAGCATATTGAGCATAAAATAGCATTGATCAGAAGATTTACTTAAGAATTAAATGAATGAAGCCAAAATTGGTTAAATGCAATATAGGTGTGCAAAAGTTTCAAGTGTCTAAAGCAGTAGCTGACTTAACAGATAGCACCTAAGATGGATCTTCTTGTGACAGTACAAATATCAAACCATCACTACATATAAAGAGCATAGAAATAGATGGCAGACTATATATTTAACTTCTTGAGAACAAAGGCAAATACGTTGATACTTGATACGGGTAAAATAGCATTTTTCCAATTTCAATGTCAATTTTAAGAGAGAAAACATTAATTGAGTAGCTGTTTTTAAGAATTCTCTGATATATCAGACCCAAAAGAACAAGAGAGAAATACTCAAGACTTGTGCCGCCACTAACCTGATATTTTGATGTTTTGGAGCTTTGGTCCCACAATTTGATCAACAAATAAGACCCCGTGTCCTTGACAACGTTTCCATGCAACTTGAGGAGCTTCTCTTCAACTGAAATGATACTCATCCTTCACATCTGGTTCTCACAACTGTCAACTCTTTTTCTTCTTTCTTTGTCGCCTAAGAACCAGGGTAACATATCTAATGGTAGTTTCACATGGCTCAAAACCTTTTTCGTTCATCTCATTGAGCAATATTTTTGCTTTTGACTCATACGATGTTCTCAATGCCCTCTCCAGCTCTGCTCGCATCGATAGTTTGCACCACCCAGTTATCAGTATATCATAGGTCGAAGAAGTAGGAGGAACCCCTCTGACTTGCATCTCATTCATAAGTTCTCTTGCTTGACTCATCATTCCTACCTTGGCAAACTCACTAATAAGCACATTATAAGTACTAGTTTGAGGAACAAAGCCTTTGGATATCATTTCACAATAAAGCCTGATTGCTTCCTTCTTATTCCCAATCCTGCCATGCCCAGAAACAAAAATGTTATATACATCGGAATCAATGTCAAAACCTCTTTCCAACATATCATTTAATAATTTTACTGCCTCATGCATCAGACCAGCCTTGGAAAGACCCCTAAGAAGAGTATGATAAGTTGAAATAGTAGGAGAAACTCCTTCAACCAACATCTGTGAAAATGTATGAAGAGCCCTTTTTAAATGGGAGCTCGTGCAATATCCATGAATTAAGGCATTGTAAGTAACAGTATCAGCAGAAAGGCCGCTATTTTTCATATCCTGTAATGCTGATGTTGCTTTCCTAGTCATACCAAGCCTGCATAAGGTGGCGATAAGAGTATTATAGACTTTCTGGGTCAATTTAAGACCCATAGCTACAAGACGCTCGTGCACTAACAAAATGTTCTCCCCCCTTTTACTTTTTGAAGCTGCATCAACCACTAGTTTGTGCATAGTGGAGCTGGGGTGAAACCCTAAACTTGCCATTTCATTCAACAGATCCATGGCTTCATCAATATTCCCTTTTGTACAGAGTCCACCAACAATGGCATTGGAGGTGATTTCATTAGGCACTAACCCAAGGCTCTTAATCTCTTTCCATAAGTTTAGAGCATTTTCCAGTTTACCCTCTCTGCAATAAGCAGCAATGATTGTGTTATATGTCTCAAGGTTTGGTGCCAAACCAAGTTCTTTTATTCCGGTATAAACAGACTGCACTTCATATTTCCCCAGCCCCAAAAGTCCATTTACTAGGACATTATAAGCAACAGCATCGAACTGCAAATTTTTCTGAGTCATCTCTTGGGCCATTCTAAGAGCAGCTGATTCCTCGCCTGCTTTAAAATACCCATCCATTAGCGATGTATAATTAGCAGAGTCAGGCAACACTCCCTGGGATATCATCTTTTCGAAAAAGGAACCAGCCTCGTCCATCCTCCCTTTCCTTTTATAATCATTGAGAAAAGCATCAAGTACAAATTTGTTTTCCTCCAACCCACTCAACTTCATTTCCTCATAAAAGCTAATAGCCACTTCGTGTTTCCTAGCCTTAAAATAGCCATCAATTAAGCTACTGTAAGTGAAAATATTTGGCATGACTCTCTGACCCACCATCTTTTTGAAGATACCAAGAGCTGCATCAAGCATTCCAAATTTAAGAAAACCGTTGATCAGAGAAGTGTACGTAATGACATTTGGAGAGACATTTTTACACTCCATTTCTTGAAGTGCAGATTCCACGTCATCCAAATATCCTGACTTGCAACGTCCATCAATCAATGCAGAATAAGTGATACAGTTTGGAACCTGACCAGAAGCTAGTAGACTCCTAAACATCATCTCAGCTTCACTAGACCTTCCACTCTTAAATAACCCATCCATCAAAGTGGTGAATACAACCACATCAAATGAAATTCCACGTACTACCATTTGACTCTGGAGACCATGGGCAACTTCTGCATTCTTTGTTTTAAAGAACAAATCTAGAAACAATGAGTATGTTATATGATTAGGGTCTACACCAACCCTCTTCATTTCCTTGAAAAGTGCTTGAGCATCATCAATTCTGCCATGCTTGCAAAGGCCATATATAAGGGAATTGTAAGTGACTACATCAGGTGCGATCCCATCCATCAGCATTTTCTCATACATAGTAAGTGCTTCCTCAAGTCCTTGCTGCTTACAGCACCCACTAATAAGTGCAGTATATGTGATAACATTTGGCTTCATATCAACATAATCATCTTTTCCAATATCATCATTAGAATCAATGGAAACTTCAAGATCAGACCCACCATTTTTTTGTGGCAGCATAAGCTCGTCAAAAATACTCTTTGCCTGAGCAAAGTTCATCATCTTGCAGAACATGTTGATCAAAGTATTATAAGTAATAATATCTGGAAAGGATTCTTCTTTCCTCATCCTATTGAACAACTCAAGTGCAGCATTAGCATTGCCAGCTTCAAAATACCCATGAATCAAAGTATTAAAACCAACTACATCCACATAACCCACTCCTTTATAACCAAACTGATCAAGAATCGACTCCAGATATCCTAACAAACCTGTATCGATAAAACCCTTAACCAAGATATTACAAGTATAATCATCAAAAGTAAACCCCTTTTTTATCATCTCAGAACATACTCCAAATCCCTGTTCAACAAACCCATATTTACAAAATCCCCATATCACAGTATTATAACTAACAACATCACTTTCACCAAAACTTGTATCCCGTAGTAAATCTAAGGCTAATCCGACTCTACCCACTTTACATAAAGAATGAAGTACTATATTACGAGTTGTAACATTGGGACTAACACCACAAGAGATCATCTCCGTATAAACAAACCATACCTCAGAAACCATCCCGGAGTTGTTGAATTCTCGAAGCAGGCGGTTCCAAGAAGGTACACTTTCAGGAACAAAATTGTAATTTCGCATGGCACTGAAGGCGTTTGCAGCTTTAGAGAGCCGGTTATGGGAGAGGAAAAGGTGGATTAATGTGCAGAAAAACGAAGCATATAATCCATCAGGTTTCGCTGTTTCTGACGACGATGAGAGAGGTCTAATGGACAAGGGAGAAATGAGAAGCGAATGAAGGAGGGTCTTGTCGCACTGCCGTTGTTTGATGAAATGCCGCAACGAAGACCCCATCATATCTTTTTCTGCTTCAACACGATTACTTGCGGTCAGGAGTGTACATTTGAAAGCATCATAAAATTGAACCCACAACAATTTGACCCCTCATGGATTCGATCACATGGAGGTTTTGATGTGTCAACCCCACTTCTAGCTCGAATTAGTGCAACTTAAATGGCTCAAAGAGCTGAGAAACAACTAATAAATGTTTGAAATCGACTTAGGAACGAAAAGTATGTAATCGAAGAAAATAAGCTTTGAAAATCAGGGGAAATAAGAGTCAGGTGTCTTCTTTTTCAAGATTTTCTTGAAGATTATGAAGCAAATGTGATCACCTCATACAGATAATATCCCATCGACGCCCAGCAAACTCACCATCCCCGAAACGAGAGCGAAGACGGCAAGACCAGCTGGGTTTTCCGTATTAGTCACCGGAGCAGCTGGGTTCGTCGAAAAACCCCTGGCTTTTGTGGAGGGATTATATAAATTACACTTTTTATCCTTCAAGTACAATATACGACTCCCCCAACTTCAAATACCTTCAAATAATAACATGAAATCATAGACATAAATGACCACCAGGTACCGGCCTAGAATTTTTTTTAAACGGTGGCATCAGTTAACCATAAGAAAAAAAATATAGAAATTTTTTTTCAAACGGTGACATCGTTTGATTATAAAAAACAAATATACGGAATTTTTTCAAACATTGATACCATTTGACTAAGAAAATGACATTAACATGATTCAGACTTGGGTGTGGGGTGGAATAAAAGTCTTGCAAACCAACTTTACCAAATAAAACTTGTTCTCATTGTAGTTTCAAAATACATACGGTGGCACACAACAAATTAATATGGTTGCACCGTTCATGAAACCTAAATTTTTTACCCTTCGGCGGAGAAACGATACGATGGCACGTGCCACCCATGGCACTTAACTAGGTCCGCCCATGTGACCACCAACTCTGAACTAAATACCAAAATATTATACAAAATCTATTACAAATCCATATTACAAACAAATCCTATCAACAATCACCACCATACTTGTGGATCTTGTTGAGAATTTGTTGATGATTCAAGAGAAACTTCGAAATACAAAGTGTAGTAGTTTCATTAATGCATCGTGTTGCATAATCCTACCTCATTTAGTGAAGTAAGCAAACCCTTGATGATCAACAGAAAGCATAAGTGCCATCAAGGGGTCGTTTACCAAACACTTACTCATGTAAGTCTTATTCGGTCACTTAATTACCTTACCGGGTAGTGTGGCAAGTACAACGGTCTTATACGATAAGTGGCTAGACAAAGACCAGCAATCTTATCCAGTAAATGAGGGTGGTGACTCTTACCGGTTAATGCTTACTAGGTTAGAGACGCTTACTAGGAATCTTACTATGACATTTTGTTAGAGATGCTTACCAAAAATCTTACACAGTAAGGTACGTAAGAGTCGTGAATATGACTGATAAGCGCTTAACTGTAAGCATTAGACGACACCCTCAAATGGTAGTTCACAATGGTTCATTTTGTAGTTCATAGTGGATTATTCGTTTTGTTGCAAAATACTACGATGATGCATTAGTTCATAGTGGATCATTTGTTAGTTCACATTAAATCCCTTTGTAGTTCACAGTGGAAGACTGTTCTATTATAAACAGACTAACATGGCTAATTAGTTCACAATGGATCAAAATGTAGTTCACAATGGATCACTTTGTAGTTCACAATAGATCATTTTTATAAAGAGATAGTCTAGTTCACAGTGGATAAGTAGTTCACAGAGAAATTCCATAAATAGACAATGCAATTGACAGTGGATCATTAGTTCAATGGCATGTTGATCAATGCCACACCAGTCTGTATTTCATTATAGGTACCAAAAGCACATATCACATATAGCAAAAGACCCACAACACATATCACTTGACACAGAGCCCAAATGCACAGTTCACACAACACAACACTCTTTAACACCAATCGTTTGTTCTCTTACACATATCACAGACCACATAACCGATGCACCAAAACAGAAATACAGATTGATTTCACAGAACATAAATGATGAACCAGAAAGATGATAACAGAACTTGTAAAATGCATATTCTATAAAAATATATTATTCTATCAAGCCATACATATATTCATCTGATTGTATCCTCATATATTCATCTTTATTGGGATTATATAAACAATCTCCAGAAACAGTCCCATAATAAGGATCTAGATCAATCTTATATTTCTCAGATGCATTTTCATTGTGATCTAAATTGGCCTCATCCCTCATATTCTTTGGCAGGAATTTCAAAAATACAAATACCATAATCAGATGGTTGATCATGGTATTGGTACGTTGGTCATCGGACGATTTTCATATGACTTATATGGAGTTTGGTACGACTAATATAGAGATTCGTATATCTCTTGACTTTGAAACAGATGATACTGAGTCTATAAAAAAATATTTGAAGTTTGGGTTAGTTTAGGAAGTTGACCAATCTTGAGGGGTTAGTTTTGCATAACCCACTTTAACTTTGCAATTTGAATGATGGGTTTGGGCTATATACATAGATTAGGTTTTTATTTTGTTTAACTCAACCCTAACTCCCCTAATTGTGATAATCGCTAGAGAGAAATGGTAAGAGCTTGGAAGAGTCCATCGAGAACCTAGGAGGGAACTCGACGGCCAAAAGCAAGCAAGGTTCCATCAATTTCTTGACGGTTCAAGGTAAGTTTCTATCCCAGTCTCGAATCTGTACATTTAGTAGTTGGGTTATAAATTTCGGAATTGTTTAAGGAAGATTTGAGTTGTTCCGGTGACTCGAAGGTCACTGATTCGGTTAAACAATAATGGCAGCAACTAGGGGTTTGTCAAAATCGTCTTTAGAACCCAAAATTCTTCTCGTTTTCCTCTCGAATTTAATCTTGTATATGCTTAATGTTGGTGCATATAATTGTCGTTATTTTATCGCCAAAAGAATTATGTGAATTGCCAAAAAAAAACCCGGGTCAAAACACTCAATTTTCAGTCGAGTTTGTTGCTGTTTTTTTTAGCCGTCCGAAAGACGTGACCTTTTCGTTTAGACTGCTTATCTACTTGAGAGGGGGCTGTCCGAAAGGGAGTCGAGTCTCGGTTGCGTAAACTTCTTATGTGGTTTGCATAGTGTATATATATATATATATATATATATATAGGGTTGGGTTCACGTGAGACCAGACTGTTTTCTTGAGACCCGTGAGACCACATTTTTACACTTGAAACTTCACAGCAAAAACACTGTGAAGGTTATTTGCTGTGAAGTTTCAAGTGTAAAAAGCTGGTCTTACGGGTCTCACGAAAACATGTTGGTCTCACGTGATCCCAAGTCTATATATATATATATATATATATATATATATATATATTGATAGATATATAAAGCTAGTTTATGTGTTTCTTTTTTTCCATTGTTTGGTAAGTTGTTGCCATGGTTCACTCCATAGATGGAGTTTTAGACAACTTTCCTTCCTTGATATTTGTTTATGTTCCCATAGTAGTATATTAATTGATAGGATTTAGTTGAGTTTAGTTACATTATTAGTCGTTAAAGTGATTTAGTTTCGTTATGCCATCAAGTTATCAATTAGAATTAATAGTAAGTTTGAGTGTTTGTTTAGGGCAGATATAAAGGAATAAACTTGGGGAATCGATAAGTTTTGTGAAGTTTAAGGTACGAATTCTTAATTCTATTCGTTCATTTGATTCGTTTACATATGTTTACGAGCCCTTAAGCTTTCTTTCAACTCGGATTAATTGACTCACGATTATTGATATTCTTTTTGTATCGCATTTTCATTCACTTGCAATTGTTCTATGTCGTACATATCGTAAAAAAAGCCACTTTCTGATCATATTATTTAAGTGGGTCAATGTTGGTACAAGTATGTGTTTTCTCCAAAATAATACGTTTATTTGTTCGGTAACATTTTGGTATGATTTTTACCTCTAAAAGTATATATGTTGGTACTTTTGATCGATTATGTATTCTTTGAATTGAGCCTTTTTATTATTACGACTACTTGTTTATTCAACATAATTTCTTACTTGACTTATGTTTGACTTTTCGTTTGATTTCGTTATTTATTGACCATATGTAAGACGTATAACGTCACATTCGTTGTGACAACTCTACACTGGGTAACTCGAGCTACTAACCACCTATGGGGGTACCATAGGCACATCATTGTGGCACCGATGGCGTGACACTAACCGTGGCAGTGTGATTCATTATTTAATGTAGATATCTTATAAAGTTCGTATTTTGTTATACAAATACAAAATTTATAATATTGTGTGTGTGTATCTATACTACATTATAAAACATTTGATAAAAACTCTTAAAAACCTTTTTTATGCATGAAGTACTGTATATTGATGCATATTACTTAAAATTCAAGATTACAAATAAATTATGCATAAGTACAACTTATTACACCTTCATGTTTGAATTCGTATAACTAAYTGCGGATAAACATAATCAAATAGGGGATAAACATCTCTTTTTAAAATATAGAAAATTTAAAACATAATTAAGATAATTATCGAATTTTAACAAAATATTATCTTTATAAGAAAATTATATTATTAAACTAAATATAAATTACTTCGTTATTGAACCTAAATTAATTATAAAAAAAAAATTGAATTAAAAAATTACATAAAAAATATGAATTTTAAATAGTTAATTTGATATTAATATTAATATATTTTTGTCAAATTTTTAAGCTATCTTCAAAATTATATTTTATTCAAAGATAAAAACACTTTATCCTTTTATTTTTGTATTGGGGACTATATTTTGGAGGTTTTATAAATTGGCTCCGTTACGTTTTGAAGCGACCTCCCTTCCTTCGGAATGGGGATGTTACAAACATATACACCTTTATATATCAACTTAAATAACATACAGATGATATGTTACATGCTTAGTGTTGTTTAAATGGTCGGAATAGTGAAGTAAAGGTTGGAACACCTTAGAATAATTTAACGTAAGGTGTTAGAGTTGGTAGATGTCAAGAAAACAAAGTGTAGTACTTTATGGGCATAGATGTGCAAAATATAGTGGCTATATAGGAAATAATTTGCACAAATGTTTTTGTGGAATGAATTTTGGAAATTTTAGAGTTTGAGGTGAAATTAGACTCAATAAGGAATGCGTAGACGAAAACTTCATCGAAAACGGAGGCCCGATCGAAAAGTTATTAATGTTTAATTCTTTGGTGGTCAACGTGGGTACCCAACCGGGTCAAACCTGACCCAACTTGGGTTTTAGCGACCCTAAGTAAAAAAATCGAATTTGGCCCTATTTTCTTCCCCATTTCGTCTCTAAACTTCTGGAGACTTCAAGGGCACCAAACTTGG